AGGCATATCCATGGAGGGACGCACAGACCTCTACAGGCTAGACAATGACACCCTGACTGCCATTAGGTATTGGGATGAAATCCTTGGACCCATTGTCCGACCCTATGCTGGTGCAGTGGGTCCTGGGTTCCTCCTGGTGAGGACAATGCCCGGCCTCATATGGCGAGAGTATGCAGGCAGTTCCTGGAGGATGAAGGAATTGATACCATTGAATGGCCCCCACGCTCCCCTGACCTAAATCCAATAGAACACCTCTGGGATACCATGTTTCGGTCCATCCGACACCGCCAAGTTGCACCTCAGACTGTCCAGTAGCTCAGCGATGCTCTGGTCCAGATTTGGGAGGAAATCCCCCAGGACACCATCCGTCGTCTCATTAGTAGCCTCCCCCGACATTGTCAGGCATGCATACAAGCACGTGGGGGCCATACAAACTACTGCAATAAAATTTTAGCAAATAGGACTAGCCTGCTGCATCATTTTTTTTACTTTGATTTTCGGGATGTCTTTGAATTCAGTCCTCTGTAGGTTGATAATTTTCATTTCCACCAAACAATGGGGCATCCTTACATTCCTAACACATTACCCAGTCCATATCAGTATAGAGATCCAGCAGGAGATTTTTCCCCATTGAGATCTGATGTGTTTTCAAAGTGTTCCTTTAATTTTTTTGAGCAGTGTAGTTGGTGAGGGAGTCTATTCTACATTTCCACATTTTAGGCAACATCCAGTCGATGGACAATATCCTTTCTATGTTGCCAAATCCAGTGGGACCATGTAGGACAAATGTAGCCACCCTCTAAGAGGAAGTTAGATCACAGCAAAAAAAAAAAAGGATGAGAGCTATACAAGGGACGTTTTCTATTAAAAATACATACTGCAATATAATTGTATTTCCTTTTTAAATTAGAGTTTAGTGCCACTCTAATGCTGCCCCATTATGTCTGACTTATAGAAAGAATAAATGCTTTCAGCCAAAAGAGACCCTTTCACTTTCCTGCACAATATCTTCAGTGCGCTTCAAATGTCATTGTGTACACAGTACTGTTCATAATCTATTTATACATTGCTATAACTAATTAGCCATGGCATTTCTGACCTATCAATTTACAACTGTCAAGTTTTTAAGCAGATGTTACCCAAAAGGGAGGACAGGGAGTCAGGGTAGAAAGGCTCGACCCAGCTTACTAGGTTTACTCATTGTCTATACAGAGGAATGACACCCAATGATGTCTGGATGTACCGACTACTGAGGACCCATAGTACAGCCATAACAAAGATTTAGAAATGATTTAGCATTCTAAAGCCCAACTGAACGTTCAGTTTAAAGTGAAACTTTAGTCAGAAAATTAAGTCCTTATTGATCACTTTTGTAGGTATAGCTATGTAAAACATTAAAAATAAATGTCTATACTTTTTTTTTTTTTATTATATCTTTTAAAGAGCAGGGCCCTTAATCCCCTCATGTTTTGCATTGTATTGTTATTGTTCTGTCACATGTTCTGTCCCCCTTTGTAATGTACAGCGCTGAGCGAACTATTGGCGCTTTTATAAATACTGTATAATAATAATAATATTACATTTTTCCAACACATAAATCCACATTATATCAAATATATCAAAACATTTTTCACATAAATGATCTGTTCCCAAAAGAGTTAAACTTACAAAGACAGTGTCTTATATTATTTTCATGATTCTCTCCTTTCTTCCTCATGGCAGCCTTTGAACTTCCTTCCACTCTAGCTGAGCCGAGACATACAGTCAAGACTGGAAATGCACGCATTTTATTTGCAGAAAGCGACATATAGTTTTTAACAAACTGGAAAACAGTGTGTACTCTCCAGCGCTCTAGGAATCAAATGTCAAAAGGAGACCCAGGGAACCAGGACAGGAGTGGCCTATGGATAATGCTTCAGGGATGCAGCACTCTTCTGATGGGGGAATCAACAACTGGAAAAAGAGCAAATAGGTGGCGCAAACACCTAGCGCATTATCCAAGATTTATTGAGAAGTAAAAAGACAAAAACATACTCACAGACATGGCATGTATGTAAAGCTTTGTATGATAGAGATGGCTGCAGCAAAGGACAGGGTGTTCCGACTGTCAGTGTGGTCAGGTCTGACGCATTTCGGGGACAAATCCCTTTCCTCAGAGCTACTGAGGAAAGGGATTTGTCCCCAAAATGCATCAGACACCTGACCACACCTGACCACACTGACAGTCGGAACACCCTGCCCTTTGTTGCGGCCATCTCTATCATACAAAGATTTACATACATGCTATGTCTGTATGTTTTTGTCTTTTTACTTCTCAATAAATCTTGGATAATGCTCTAGGTGTTTATGTCACCTGTTTGCCCTTTTTATATAGTTTTTAACAACCTGTGGAGAGGCAGGAAGGGAGAGAGGTCAGCATCCTCTAGAGAAAGAAGAAGGGAGAGGAGTCAGCAACCTCTAGAGAGGCAGAAGGAGAGAAGTGTCATTAATCTCTAGAGAGGCAGAAAGGAAGAGGCAACAGCAGCCTCTAGAGTGGTAAAAAGGGAGAGGAGTGAAAAGTATCTAGAGACGCAGAAAGGTAGAAGAATCAACAACCTCTAGAGATGCATGACAGCAGAGGAGTCAGCAACCTCTAGAGATGTAGACACAGAGGAGAGTCAGCAACCTCTAGAGATGTAGACACGGAGGGCAGTCAGCAACCTCTAGAGATATAGACACGGAGGAGAGTCAGCAGCCTCTAGAGATGTTGACATGGAGGAGAGTCAGCAGCCTGTAGAGATGTAGACACAGAGGACAGTCAGCAACCTCTAGAGATGTAGACACAGAGGAGAGTGAGCAACCTCTAGAGATGCAGACACAGAGGAGAGTCAGCAACCTCTAGAGATGCAGACACAGAGGAGAGTCAGCAACCTCTAGAGATGCAGACACAGAGGAGAGTCAGCAACCTCTAGAGATGTAGACACAGAGGAGAGTCAGCAGTCTCTAGAGATGTAGACACAGAGGAGAGTCAGCAACCTCTAGAGATGTAGACACAGAGGAGAGTCAGCAGCCTCTAGAGATGTAGACACGGAGGAGAGTCAGCAGCCTCTAGAGATGTAGACACAGAGGAGAGTCAGCAGCCTCTAGAGATGTAGACACGGAGGAGAGTGAGCAACCTCTAGAGATGTAGACACGGAGGAGAGTGAGCAACCTCTAGAGATGTGGACACGGAGGAGAGTGAGCAACCTCTAGAGATGTAGACACAGAAGACAGTCAGCAACCTCTAGAGATGTAGACACGGAGGAGAGTCAGCAATCTCTAGAGATGTAGACACAGAGGAGAGTCAGCAACCTCTAGAGATTTATGACAGGAGAGGAGTCAACAGCCTCTAGAGATGTATGACAGGAGAGGAGTCAGCAGCCTCTAGAGATGTAGACATGGAGGAGTCAGCAGCCTTTAGAGATGTAGACACGGAGGACAGTCAGCAACCTCTAGAGATGTAGACACGGAGGACAGTCAGCAACCTCTAGAGATGTAGACACGGAGGACAGTCAGCAACCTCTATAGATGTAGACACGGAGGACAGTCAGCAACCTCTAGAGTTGCAGAAAGGAAGAGAAGTCAGCAGCCTTCCTTTAGAGATGTAGAAAGGGAGAGATAGTCAGCAGTCTTTCATAAAGGTGTAGAAATGGAGAGGAGTGAGCAGCTTCTAGAAATGCAGGAAGAGAGAGGAGACAGCATTCTTTAGAGATGTAGGAAGGCAGAGGAGACAGCATCTTCTAGACATGCAGGAAGGGAGAGGAGCCTGTAGCCTCTAGTGAGGTAAGTATATGTAGCCAGGTGCTGGTTACGATAACATAGATGCAATGAACATCTTCTCCAGAACTGCTGACTGGTTAGCTTCCCTGCTCTAGTGCTGCACTCAGACTGTTTACCTCCATTCCTGAACCAAGAAACAAGGGACTATGGGACCTGTAGTCCTGTGAACAGCCATACCTAGCTTCCTGAATCTTTCCAAGACTACACCACCCAGAAAGCTGCTATCAGAAAGGGGATTAGGGGAAAGGCAATATAAGGAGCTGTTTCTAGCAGGCCCACTCTCTTCTTCCTGGGACCTTCTATAGAGCAGAGGGGCTGCCATCTTCCTTTGGGGACTCGAACCTACTGAGACCCTGGGAGCTACAGGCACCTCTCCATAAGTGAACCTCTACCACCGGACACTGCTGGAAGACTACCTTTGTTTCTGTGTTGCAGATGCTAACCCAGATTTCTGACTCCAACACCTGGCTGACCAACAGCATCCATCCTTCCACCTTGCTGGAGCACAGACCCTGAATCACCTAATACACAAACCAACTTCAGCCAGGATCTGGTAAGTGGGCTGAAGCCCAAAACCCTTTCATTTAGCAAGACATAGCACATGGACATTGCATGCAAACATCGCAAACTGGATTTGCAAAGGGACTTTCCACTTCTGTTGTATCTACTCCTCACCTTGTGATTGTTTAACCCTTTAAATACTTGCCTTTTTACTTCTGAGCTCCAAAGATACTGCTTAGGCCTAACATTTTAACTGTCCATGGTCTGCTATTACTAGTGCGTGAACTTGCCCAAGAAAGGTTTATTCCCCAAGTTATAGAACTAGATTCTCCCATGCTGATTCAGGGAGGGCCTGAGTCCTTGCTGAGACCCTTTCTTTGAACTGAGGCCTCCCAAGCCCCAATTTTTTCCACCGCTCAGTGTCTTTACAACCCCGTACATAATTATTACTGTTCATTATTGTTTGCCTTTGTCATTCTGATTTTACCTGATTTTTTGGTGTCTTGCTCAACCTACCCTAGATGCTGTTTTAAGGATTGGTTGACCTGAGCCTTGGACTTGCTATTTATCTTTGTCATTACAGAAATCTTCTGTGTTGAAGTGTTACTAAACCAAGGACCCTGCATTCACTATATCCGGTCTCCCCGGACCCTGCATTCACTAAATCTGGTCTTCCCGGACCCTGCATTCACTATATCTGGTCTCCCAGGACCCTGAATTCACTATATCCGCTCTCCCCAGACCCTGCATTCACTATATCTGGTCTCCCCGGACCCTGCATTCACTATATCTGGTCTCCCTGGACCCTGCATTCACTATATCCGGTCTCCCCGGACCCTGCATTCAATATATCCGCTCTCCCCGGACCCTGCATTCACTATATCTGGTCTCCCAGGACCCTGCATTCACTATATCTAGTCTCCCTGCACCCTGCATTCACTATATCTGGTCTCCCCAGGACCCTGCATTCACTATATCTGGTCTCCCAGGACCCTGCACTCACTATATCTGGTCTCCCCGGACCCTGCATTCACTATATCTGGTCTCCCTGGACCCTGCATTCACTATATCTGCTGTCCCCGGACCCTGCATTCACTATATCTGGTCTCCCCAGACCCTGCATTCACTATATCTGGTCTCCCCAGGACCCTGCATTCACTATATCTGGTCTCCCCCGCACCCTGCATTCACTATATCTGGTCTCCCCGGACCCTGCATTCACTATATCTGGTCTCCCCAGGACCGTGCATTCACTATATCCGGTCTCCCCGGACCGTGCATTCACTATATCTGGTCTCCCAGGACCCTGCATTCACTATATCTGGTCTCCCCGCACCCTGTATTCACTATATCTGCTCTCCCTGGACCCTGCATTCACTATATCTGCTCTCCCTGGACCCTGCATTCACTATATCTGGTCTCCCCGGACACTGCATTCACTATATCTGGTCTCCCTGGACCCTGCATTCACTATATTTGGTCTCCCTGGACCCTGCATTCACTATATCTAGTCTCCCCGGACCCCGCATTCACTATATTGTGTCTCCCTGGACCCTGCATTCACTATATCTGGTCTCCCCATACCCTCAATTCACTATATTTGGTCTCCCTGGACCCTGCATTCACTATATCTGGTCTCCCCAGTACACAGAACATGGAAATGCAATTATTTTAGTAAATATAAACTGCTAAATACCTTTTCTCCTCAGCAGTTGGAGCAGTCTTCTGACTTCTATCAGTGTCCAGCCCAGCACTAGCTAAATCTTGTAGGAGGAGTTTTCTTTGTGCTCTAGGAGGATGCAGAACCCCTGACCTCTGTCTGGACAGTGCTGATTGGCTCTGTGCTGATCACATGCACTCTCCCAAGAAAAAAACCTCTCTAGCAATACACACCAAACTGAGAATGTGCATGCCTACGGTTTGGTCTGGAGATAAGTGGTGGTCGCTTGAAAAAGGGGAGGAACAGAGAAGAAAGGATCAACCATTCTTTTTACACAATACAGAGGATTAACCCCTTAGGTTCCACAGTGAGTATAACAAGCATGCTTTACTGCTTATACAGACTGATTGTACTGTTGTGGGTTTAGTAACAATTTAAGCTTACATTGTGTCTCTGGATCACTAAAAAGCAGTATGTAAAATGTCAGAACCTAGAGCAGGGGTGTCAAGCTGTTGAGAACTAGTCGCATCATGCCTGTCTTTGGGAGTCATGCTTGTAACTGTCAGCCTTGCAATGCCTCCTGGGACTTGTAGTTTGGCAACAGCTGGAGGGCCGCCAGTTTGACACCCCTGACCCAGAGCGTTAGAAGAGCTGGGAAGTTCCCAGGATCAAGGCAGCTCGAGAGGACAGGCATCATCCAGCGGCCCTTACGGGGGTAGCGCTACATATATATAAATATATATACAGTATAAATACTGTATAAGAATTATGGTTCATTTTCCCTGTTACACAGAAATTTAGAACACTAATGCTTTATGTTAGGAAATATATTTTATGTGTTTGTAGGCACAATCAATTATAAGAGTGAATTAAACCAAGAAAACAATTACTAACACACACTTCTGATAAAACAAATACTTGTGTCACCCACAGCAACCAAATTCTATCATTTTTCTAAAGGAACTTAGAAAATGAAAATACACCATTTAACAACTACTATGGACAACATCAAGGATGGCTGAATTCAGCAGTGCAGGATTAAATTAAAACCTAAAAGCAATTTAAATACTTTTGGTAGTTAAAAGGGACATTTGACTATACAATCTATAAATCAGATCCAGGAGATTGTGGATGAAAGAGAAGCAGAGGAATTTGGATCCAAACACTGGAGAGTTAAGAGCTACAGTAACTAAGAAATAATAATCTAAATTAAGAAGAGAGGAAGCTAAAACAAAATTAAATTTGAAATGTAACACTTGCCAAAAAGAGTTGTCATTCTGTGCAGCCAGTCTCGTGATTTACAATGCCACACCCCTGACACTCTACACAGTCAGGCAAATGACACACCTATTTCCTTTTTGGTCTTTAAAGCTCTTTGTGTCCCTTCTTTTCCTTCAGCCTGTTTATTGCTTAGAGGGTCAGCACTATTGCACTGCAGATTGGCTGTTCAATAAGCAGGCAGGTGAAATAAGAAGCTGTAAAGCTGTTCCAGGAAACAATGGTGTCACCCACCTGGATGTGTGAATCACAAGACTGAAAAAACAAAATTACAAATCCCTTGGCAGGTTAAACAATTCTCATATATGCAATTTCAATTGTGTGTTTGGGCTCATGTACACTGCAGCTGATAAACTGACGTTCAGGAGAACAGAGTTGTTTACAGTCGTTTACAGGCAGTTGAGTTTACAGTTGTTTTTTTTAACGCACCAAACTTGCGTTCAGGAGTAGATTTTACCGGTGTTTCAAATGCCTGTAAACGCGATCAACCGCGTTTACAAGCGCTTGCGTTTAAAAGCGGTTTTTAACTGTTCCATGTTCAGACGCTGTCCACAGCCTTTTTTCATCATCAGAAATGCATACAAAGCGTTTTCCATGTATTCAAATGGACCCGGTACACCAGCGCAGTCAGTTCCAGGTTTGGCGTGAAGGGAACAATGGTAGAACGTGCCGCATTATGCTCATGATGGGATCCATAGTGAATACAACCAGAAAAGACAGGTCATCTCAACACATACTGCTCTCTCTGCTTCTGCTCTCTCTATTGCTCTCAAAATGTCTGAAATTGTGAATTTTTTTATTATTTATTTTTCAGTGCATTCTGGGCATTTGGGAAGGTCTCCTGAGGTTATCTTTTAAAATGCTTCTAAACACAAACGGACATAAACGCAGTATACAAACGCGGCTAAACTGACATTTTTTAACCTACGTTTTCCAGCAGTCAGTTTCCATCGTTCAGAAGAGTTTTCCAAATGCCCCGTGTACATGAGCCCTTTGCCTGTTTTTCTGGAATAAAAATCCCACTCCCCCTGCATTTATTTTTTCTGATGATGGTTTGAAAAGAATAAGGAGTGTGTTAGAATGCCTTAGCCCAGTCTTCTTCCAATAACTGCCTTCCCAAAGCCCATTCCCAAGTCCATTCAAAGAGATATTTTTTCTCTATTGGCCATCTCTCTGAATATTGCACATACTGTAGGCCTGAGGGACTGCTGCTGAGAAGGTGCACAAGCATTCAAGCATTGTCATGGGCCGATTTAAGGTCCCTTCTTTTCATATTGACCTGATATAGTCGGAAAGCTGCCATGTCTGGTACCACTCCTTTATGGTGGGTTGAGATTGGGGCTCACAGTTGATTACAGTCCGGTTGGTGAAAATTAAGGATTTGCATTTTTGTAATATTATCTGGATTGCAGAAGGTGACTGGGGACTTTCTGGGGGTTGTGGTAAAATAGGGGTGAATGGGTCAGGTCTGGAGGATAATTTCGTAGGAACCTAATATGGCATCCCAGTGTTGCAGGAGGTAGGTGTGTCAGTCAAGGGACGGTGTGCTCCATGGAAAGGATGTGAGTGGGAGAGAGAAGTCTCTTCCCAGTATTATTCCCATCTTATATGTGGAATCAGTATAGGATCCTCACTAAAAGTGATGCTTTACGGGACAGTGCAAAATCTGGAAGCCCTCTGCCACTTTGGATTTGATGGGTTTGAGTTCTATTCCCTAGCCTTGGGAGCCCTTGTCCCAAATTAACCTAATGGTTGCTGAGTGTAAATGTTGGAAGTAGGCAAGAGGTAATTGCATGAAATTATTTAAAATGTATGTAGCATAGTAGGTATCGCATTTATTTGTACTCACTTCTTTTTGCAGCTGTCTTCTGTCCAGTCTTGTCGTGAAGGTGGTTTCATTCCTCCCCTTTTTTTCCTCTGGCACTGGGTGGTCCTTACTGTTGAACATGTAGTGATGTGTGAGCGCTATTCTGTGCACTAGTACTTTGAGCCCAGGCCAGCATGGTGGTGCACCTCCAGGAGGTGTATCTTTGATGCTCTTGGCCCACAGAAGTGGATTAAATGACCCTGGGTGTTATTCAGCACAGAACAGCAAGGGCAGGAGAAGGATGGGGTGGGAAGTCTATGTTGGACAGCGCCAGAAAGAAGATGACTATTGCATTGGAATGTAGCACCAGCTGGTGGCCTTTCTAGGCCGTCCAGCAGGACATTGCACCGTGACCACATATAGTTGCTCCCTCCATCCTGGAGATTGACATTGACGGTGTAAGAAGAGGAAAGCAAAAGGAAGACTTTAACTGGCTGCTGGAGGAAGCCCACTCCTAGCCACATGGCAGGTGGATATAAATTTGGGGCTGCATCTGGAGAGTAACTCACGGAGTGTGCCCATGGGTGCTGTTGGTGCCAGGACAGAGCTCTTGGGTGTCTGGGGGAGAGGCACTTAGACCAATGAGAACTGGGCAGAGAGAACTATTGTGGGCTGCAGAGCAGACTGAGATATAAAGAAACAAAGCTACAAATGTGGCTGCTGTGTGTTGTGGCTGGGCTGAGCTCCTGGAGAGTCTGCAGGACTATGAGCTCTCAGCTGGGTGCTATCCTAAGAGCTAAGCTTCTGAAAGCTCATATGTTCTGAACTGCTGTATGGTCTAGTATAACTTCATCCAGAGGTACTGCGGACTATTCTTCAATCCCATACCATCCTGACCGCAGGAGCAGACATTGAAGAACAGACTGCTCCTATGAGGATATCCCCAGAGCATCAGGGTGGGGAGAGGCGTATTGGCAACCGCTGTGTGTTTAATTGGCTTCTGCCACAAGAGGTAGATGGCCCCAACTCTGGCAGGACTGTATCTAATACTCCACTGGCCAATGGTTTAGGTAGACCCCATCAACTGTCCTCAGTGCTATAACGCTGACGTTGCTTGTGCATGTATTGATGATCGTTCTGGATTAATTGTCTTGCATTTGTCTAACTCAGGAGTTTTCAAACTTTCTAAACAAAAGGTCAGTTTATTGTCCTTCAGATTTTAGGGGGGGGGGGTAGAGAAACTGTGGCCAGAGGAATTGGAAGTTTTCCTGGCATTAGTGGGAGAAAACATCACCACATTTGGTATTATGAGGAGGAATAGTGCCCCATCATTGATATCATTGGGAAGTATAGTACCCCATTGTTGCCATCAGTTGGAGAGATGGTGCCCCATTGTTGACAAATAAGGGCCAAATAAAGGCAAGCAAAGGGCTGCATGGGGCCGCAGTTTGAAGACCAATGGTCTAACTCATACTTCCATTCCAGGGTTTTTTCCCTGATTCAGTAAAACCCATTCAACTTTTACTGATATCTCAGTGAATGTATGGTCCAGGTACATGGCATGTCATGAGAGCGGCAGAAGGACTCTTCTATCCAGTGGCACCTTAAGATGTAGGTCTTTTTTAACTAGTCTGGGCTATGATATTATTTGTCAATTGTAAAA